AAGAAGCGTTGGGTTCTAAGTTGAGGTTGAGTTCAGCGTATCATCCTCAGACAAATGGTCAGACTGAACAGACGATTCAATCGTCAGAAGACTTGTTAAGGGCATGTGTTCTCGAGCAGGGAGGTTCGTGGGATACTTATCTTCCGTTGATAGAGTTCACATATAATAACAGTTACCATTCTAGTATTGGGATGGCACCTTTTGAAGCGTTGTATGGTCGAAGATGTAGAAATCCGTTATGTTGGCATGAATCTGGTGAGAGTGTAGTACTTGGACCTGAACTTGTTCGTGAGACTACTGAGAAGGTGAAGTTGATTCGAGAAAAGATGAAAGCTTCACACAGTAGGCAGAAGAGTTTTCATGACAAGCGAAGGAAGGATTTAGAATTTCAAGCTGGTGATCATGTGTTTTTGAGAGTCACACCTGTGACTGCTGTTGGGCGAGCGTTGAAGTCTAAGAAGCTCACTTCTCGTTTTATTGGACCGTATCAGATTTCAGAGAGAGTGGGGAATGTTGCTTATAGAGTGGCTTTGCCGCCTAATATTTCGAATTTGCATGATGTGTTTCATGTGTCGCAACTTTGAAAGTATATTTCAGATCTATCTCATGTGATTCATATGGACGATGTGCAAGTACGGGAAAATCTTACGGTGGAGACGATGCCTGTACGGATCGCAGATCGTAAAATGAAGACTCTGAGGGGCAAAAAGATTTCATTGGTTAAAGTGGTTTGGCTAGGAGCTACAGGAGAAAGCATGACTTGGGAATTGGAGAGCAAGATACGAGAATCCTATCCTGAATTGTTTGATTAAGGTAAATTTTCGAGGACAAAAATATTCTAAGTGGGGGAGAGTTGTAACGCCCGTAATTTAATTAAATTATTTTTGGAATAATTGTGAAGAAGTGTTATTAAATTGGATTTATTTTATTAAATGGAGAAATACTAATATATTTGAGGTATTATATTATTATGTGAAATAATGTTAGAAGCTAATATTATTTAATGTGAGTCTATATGGTGTGAGTGGAAGTAATAAGGGGGTGTAGGTTTTGAGTCCAATAAGGAATAATATAATAATATTCAGTTATTTTATTATTTGTTGTTAGAATAGAAGGAAGAAGCAGTAAGAAGAGAAATAAGGAGTTGAGAGAACGTGAAGCTGCTGAATTTTGAAGGAAACGGCAAGAACAAAGATTCAACCCGGAAATTGTAGAGCAACCTTCGATCCAAGGTAAGGGTGGGGTTCTGGCTTTATAATTGGGTTCATGATGTTTGATATGTGGGGTTAGAAGATTGCTATTTTTGTTATTGAATTGAATGATGTATGGTGTATATTGATGAATTCTCGATGGATAGATGATGTTATGATGATGTGTAATCAATGTAGTATTGTAAGTTAATGTTAAGTGATGAATTATCATGGTTATGATAAGGTTTTCAGGGCTGTAGTATGATTCCTGTAGCAAAATAAAGAAGAAAACACAGAAAATTATGCAGAAAATCGCAGGATGCGTCGACCTCAAACCGGCTTAGTCGATGCAAGGAGGCTGTTAGACTCAGGATGAGTCAATGCATGGAGGGTTTGCGTCGATACATGATGAGTACAAGACTCAGGATGAGTCGACGCGAAGAGTGCATGTGTCGATACATGCTGTATTGAAAACCATAATGAGTCGATCCAAAGGAGGATGTGTCGACTCATAGTATACATATGAAGCAGGATGAGTCGATGCATAGTGTTTTGTGTCGACCCATACTGAATAATTTTGACAGAATCGGTTTTTAAATTGCTGTAACTTGAGTTTTAGGATGCTGTTTGAGATGCCGTTCGAAGCGTTGATTAACTAACGCGATGAACTTTTTTCTAGAGGATTAAAATGATGGATAAGAAGTGTAATCCCAGTAACTAATTTAGAATTTAGGATTAATTCCCGTAGATGACTGTTATGCTGGATTTTTGGACAGAATGATGAATTTTGAGATGTTAGAGGCTGCTGTTAGAATTATGACAGTAGGATTTAGTGACAATGACGATGTACAGTAGCAGAATAACAATATGGCTTACTGTATTATTAATATGCAGCTGAGTTATTAGTGAGATGTGGTTATTAAAGTGGTGTTTGATAATTTATGATGAACAAATGATGTTTTATAAATAAGTAATGTTTAATAAATTATTTTGAGATGTTTACGAGATGCTGTAATTGAGATGTTATGAGATGTTGTTGTTCTGAGATGTTTATGAAATTTTGCTCTGAGATGTTTATGAGATGTTGTTCCGAGATGATTAAGATGTTGTTGTTTGAGATGACTGAGACGTTGTCGTTTTGAGATGATTGAGATGTTGCTGTTTTGAGATGTGTTTTGAGATGTTGTTAACTGAGTGTGTTATTACATTCATGTTGAGTCGCATACATTGCGTTTTTGAGATGGAGCTTATGCTCGTTGAGACGGCCTGGATTGGAAAATTTTGAGATGAAGGTTATGCCTTGTTGATGCCTCTATTAATTGGCAGATTTGATTTTTGAGATGGGAGTTCTGCTCCAATGATACCACATGCATTTGCATAGTTTTGAGTCGCATCATATGAATGATTAATGAGATGTATTTGATGTTGATGAATGAGTATATATGCTGTAATTATTGTTGATTATGAGATGAGAAGTAGTGATATTATTGATCTAATTTAATATATTAATTATCATGCGCTTTATTATATTGTTAGATATCTCACCCCTTCTGTTTGAATGTTGCCCCTGTGTTGGTAACGTGTAGGTAATCAAGAGTGAAGGCCGTATACCTTCAATAGATCGAGTCGGTGTCATTTCTCTGATATGTAACACTCGGGGGGATGAACGCTTGTTGATTTTTGATTGCTGATTTTTAGTTGTTGAACTTTAAATTGTTTATTTACTAAATATTAGATGTTTCGAAGTTGCTGTTTTATTTAAAGATGTTATTGAAGAATTTCGCTGCGTAGTTGTTGAATTATTTTATTAAAGATGCTATATTGATGGTTCATCCGATGTTTTATTAAAAGTGTTATATATCCATGATGAATGCAATGAATTTATTAGAATAATTTGTGACGTCTCGATTCGTTTGTATGAATGAAATTTTATAACTTTGATTTATTTTGCATAATTTGCTTGGGGTAGAATTGGGGTGTTACAACTTTTGGCTATTGAGATACGTAAGGAGCATATATTTATGAGATAAAATTACAAGTTAAAAAATCCGAATAACATTCTTCATACAATTTTCAATGTTCATTCAAAATTCAAGTTTGAACCAAACCCCCATAAACCTCTTTCTGCTAATAGCTTTTTGATTCAAAACTTGAACATAAACTCTTGATTCAAATAATCGCAATAGCCAAAAGTCATCACCATTTAGATTACCAAAATAAACCATTACAAAATTATCAAGGAAATTATACAATTTTTTTGGTTCCAAGCCTAATTCTAAACCTATTCTTCAAGCCTTCGAGCTGCCTCGTTTCATCTTCATGATTTTTCCCCAAGATCCAAGAACTAAATAGAATTTATAACAATGATCATCCCTGCACAATTGGAAATTCAGTTCAGAAATTAGCATCACAAAACCAATCCAAATTTCTAACTGACGAGAATATCTCAGCAACTTAAAACAATTTAAAAGAAGCAAAAATCTTCCAAATCCCAATCTTCTGGTCAAGCGAAAGGATTGCTAAAAAATGTAACTTTGCAGAAGTCAAAGAATTCAAAATCTGAAAAGCCAAATTATAGTGAAATCAATTTGAAGGAGGTAAATAGGGAAGAAGATTATGAAACACATCTCAAACAAACAAGCGGCGAGGACAGTGTATCCAGAACTTCTATCACAAATACAGTTCATCAAGAAGTTAGTGACCTCCCTGCTAATATTCCAGAGAGCATCACTGAGACATATATTGAGAATGACTCGAAGTTAATTAGTCTTGTTGCCTCCCATAGTATTGAATTATCAGTAGGGAGATCTTGGAAGCCTGCTCCTGGTTTCAAGGCAGAGTCTTTACTAGAAATTCAACATAGCAAGAGCAAGAAAAGTCCATTACATAATCTATTGGCAGAAGATATAGAGATTTTTAATGAAAGAGATGGCGCAGGTCTAGACAGTATATTATTCTCACATTGTATAACTAACCATCTAGTAACCTACTAACTGTTCCCTAATCAAATCCCAACTGTTATAACTAATTTCTAACAGTTTTCTAATTAACTCTCATAAACTAACTTTCAACAACTAACTTAACCTCCATTTAATCTGACCTTACCTCACTCTTAACAGTAGCCTAACATAATTACTAACTAACTTATAGTTTTAACAAACTTAATTCCAGCTTATAACTAACTTCAAACCAACCTGCCAGCTCACATAACAGAATTCTAAAGCCCACAAACAAACTCTAACAGTGATAACAGAAAAAGCTAACTTCCAGTCCAAAAAAACAGTCTCTAACAGCTTACTAACAACCCACTAACAGAATTCCTCAACAGAAAACAGAATTCCATAACCTCTAATAAACTTTATAATTGTTTTGACCAACTCTCAACAATCTATATAACATAATACAGAAGAAGAAGGATTTTCACCAGAAAAATTCTAATAGAATATAAATTTTGATATACCTGAGATTGCATTATTGGTGGAAATCGGAGAAGAATCATAAAAATCTTAAATCTTCTTTGCAATCTCTCTCTCGGCTTTAGTCTTCAACCGCTTTCATCTTCCCCTTTTTCTCGGAACTGTATCAGCAACTTGTTATCTATCTTCACTCTCTCTGAAATCTTCACGTAGAACTCACTATCTTCATCTTTTGTTCTTCAACCTACTGCAACAATATCATCAAACTTCGCAGTTAGCACTGCATCAACTACGAAAAAAATGCATTAATTATATCACCAATCAACAATGACGCTTAGTTGAATCCGCAACTCGCAGTAGGAACAATATCATCCCTAATTCAATCTTCAGAACAATGCAAAAAAATGAAACGAAATCAAGAAGAAGAAAATGCAAGAACATAGGGAAGCATAACAGAGGCGATAAGGTGGTGGATGTGACGATGATTTTTGGTGGTATACGGCTCCTTGATGAGGAAGAAGAAGAAGATGTCGTTGCTGTTGTGTTTGAGAAGAAGATGAGATCAGGAAGAGAGTTTCGCTTGCACAAAGAGAGGAAGAATCGACCAAAGAAAGAAGAAAGCGGCGCCGCTCGTGTTTCATGGAGAAGAAGAACGGTCGAAGCAGAACATCACTATTTTTCAACACTAACACAAATCTTCCCCAAAACGACCCTGTGTTCCCTTATTTTTTTTTTAAAATTTTGTTTAATCTTTATTGTCATTACATTTGTTTGTTTAATAGGAATAAATACATTATGCTGAAGGGTAAGATGGAGTTGGAGTTGGAGAGTGGACCGAATTCCACTAGGCCCATCACCACTATTTGTTTTTGGAAACTGAAGCTGGTTCAACAAAAGATGGCTTACTGGGTTATCTCCTATGGGCCTAGCAACATGCACCCTAATCCAGATTTTAACACCTCTCTGTTTTAGATTTAATTGTTTTTTCTTCTTATTATATTCTTCTCATAACTTTGATGATAAAAGAGATACAAAAATAGTAGAAATTCTTATTGATATTAGAAATTCTCTTTAGATGTTTAATTAGAGTTTTCTATTATTTTCATGTTCGATGATCATTTTCATTGTCATTTTTTAGCTAGGATTTTGTGATATTGTATTGATGTAATCTTTTCGCAATTGGGAATATTTGGAGATTAATCTTTGATCACTCGCACGAAGCAGCTTTTGGAAGAGTTTTCTTACCGATTGTGCAGTTTCAAAGAAGCAACGGACTTTCTCCGCTCAGTATCATTGTGACTTCGTTTTATTCCTCATTCTCGTACTTTACTGCTTTTCTAGAAATCATGAGAAACCCGGCTTTATCGCAAACCATATGCATGCTAACATTAGGTAGAGATTTCCCCTTTTCATCCAAATCTTAGGACCATCATCGTATGATAAGTTTAGGTTTAGAAATAGGCTAGTATCCCCTTGACTTTTCTTGCCACTTTTTGCATATGCATTTAAAACAAAAACTTCTTTTTTACAAACTTCAAAATACTTAAAAATTTACTGATGAGAATCGTGCCTTTGTTAAGCATGAGAAATGATAAGCGGGTCTCTTCCCGATATTACCATTTTTTTCATTCTAAGCCTTAGCACAGTTCAAGTATCAAAGACTCCTTTCATGAATAAGTAGAGAAATGGCTAAAATCTCTCCCTTGAGATCAACTAGCTGTTATCCACAAGCAAAAATATCAACAAACACAAAACTCTTTTTGCCTACGGGCCTTCCTTTCAAAACTCTTTTTCAAAAGAACAAGTTAATTCACTTATGTGCTGACGCGTAAGTCTCCAAGGGTCGAGTTGCGACAGAAGGAGAAATTAAAATCGTTCATTAAAAACACAAACAAATTCAAACCTTTTTGTGCGCCCAAGCACATTTTCTCCAAACCTTTTTAAAAGAGCATGTTAATTCACTTCTGTGCTGACGCGTAAGTCTCCAAAGGTCGAGTTGCGGCAGAAGGCGAAATTAATGTTGTTCATTAAAAAAAAAAACCAACAAAAACATGTGAGCCGAACTACGACTGCTCTGATTCCTTAAAAGGGATACGTAGGCATTGGGGTAGGGCCCGAACGAGCACAATTTTATTTTCCCTACATTCTTTTCCCCTTTCTTTTGCATGCATTCTCCCTTTAGCAGTAATAAACAGCAAGCATAGATTAAACGCACCCATAAGATAGATAACAAGAGTGGATAACGTAGAGTACTACGGGCGTGTGGGATGCTAATACCTTCCCCTCGCGTAACAGACTCACTTACCCTTATCTCTCGGTCGCAAGACCTTGACTTATCTCTTTTCAGGTTTTCTCGATGTTTACCTTTCCCTTCCCGTGGGATAAAAAATGTTTGATGGCGACTTCATTGTTTGATGATTTTCAGCCGGTTGTTTCAGCTGGCGATTTCATTGGGGAAAGGTTGACCAAATTCTGGTCCATCCCAAAGTCGCTCCTAGCTCTCGTTTTATTTTCTTTGGGTGTTTGTGTTTATACTTTCAGTTTACTCATTTCTACATGTTTATCTGAGCATAAGTTGGCATTGCATTTTATTGCTTTCCCTATTTGTTATCTATTATGCTGGATCTTCTTCTTGTTTGGGTGGGGATGTTACTCTTGAGGTAAAAGGCCCAGTACACAGGCCAGAGTGCACTAGGACACTAGGAATAGAGTGGGGGCATGACGGCTATAGGACGTGGTCCGATTAGTGCATTCATGTCATATATCACGCTCGGATGAGGTTCAATTGGAGGTACTTTCATCATGCACGTCTGTGTTGCGATGATTTTACTTTCAGGAGAACCCATGATTTTCGAGTTACCATTGCCTTACCCTGACCTAGTCTTCACCCGTGAGCGGGGAGGGAATTCTTATCACAGGTACAGATGGTGACTATGTTCAGATGGTTACTCATGTTCAGATGGAGGCTATGATCAGACAATGATTTTTGGTACTAATGATTATGTTCTGGAGTTCTGTCAGCAACTCATGCATATGGTATTCTGTTGGTGACTATATGGTTCTCAGATATTATTTTTCTGAGCTCCTGACTTAGTTACTTAGAAGTTCATTCGAGCCTTCGATCTTGGCATTCCCAGCATATTCAGAAAAGGCTCAATGACATCCAATGTTCCAGAAGCCTTGACCCCGTACAATGGGAGATCTACATAGTACTTGTTTCTTATATGTACGAAAGCTATGACAAATCTTTGAATTGATGATACTCATATGGTTCAGAAGCAGTGCAACAACCAAAGTCAGAAATGATGGAATAATGGAACCTTGATCCTATATGACCTCATGCCTTTGCATACATAACATGGTTAACTGCATACTTAACATACATGTTCTATGATTTCCAAGGAATCGTATTTGCAAGCCTTGTGTTGAACCTTTCCATCTTTTACTTACGTAAAAACAAAATCAAAGCACATAAATTCCTTGGAAATGACGGAACATGACATGGCATCCATTCATGCATCCTATGTATATTCATGCATCCAAAAAAAGTACTCGAAGATTGGGATTCTTGCTCAGACCATGTGTTTTCTTCAGAGGTTCAACTTGATTCTTACTATCACGTGCTCAGAGATCAGTTATGGAATAACTCCGGGTATACATGCAAGCTTCAACTCGTGGTCAGAAATATCTTCAAGCAGGAAGATAATTAATTGAAAATTCAGATGAGCCAGGTCATGAAATCTCTGATGACGATGTCAACAATCTTGCACCTACTACCACAGCAGGTTCTCTCTTCTCCTCATCTTTTGGGAATTGCTTCCAACCATGGAGTGCTACGCAATCCTGAGTTCTTGAAACATCTCATCAGCAGATGGTTCCCATTTACTGTAGGATCTTATATCAATGCTTCGTTCTTGTTGACCAACGTCAGATGTGGTTGCCACGCTAGGGCATCAGACTTTTTAATCAAGGGCATCCTCCACAACTTTGTGTTCTCTAATTTTTTCAACAAGAGCCAGTCTTTATTCCCCAAGTGAATTCATGGGGCAAAGCTTTTAAGCCAAGACACAAGAATCCTGATAAGCATGTTGATGCGAGCCAAATGCATTACATCCTATTATTCCCAGTTCTTCCTAGTTCAGATCTTTGGGGTCTTCCTCCCACAAACATCTCTTCTGATTATGATATGTATGCTAGATACATCCCCTATTCCGGGGTACCCAGTTTTGATATTGAAGACTACAAAGGAGTTAAAATATAAAGCCCAGCACCTGTTTGGCGTCTCTTCCAAAGTTCCAATTCCTTTTTGGCCAATTGCCACACTCTTTCTCAACAGTTTATATCGATTTGCTTGGAAAAGCATTCATTTGTTCTCCTGAAAGAATCTTCTACGCCTATTAATCCGGGGCAATTGATCGTTCGATTGAAGATGGTACGTCATCTAGAGACAAGGTCTAGACGAGATCAATCCGAAGACCGTGGTGTCCAAATATGGAATTCTCTCACTCACCTCATGCATCTTCATGCATCTTTATGCATCCATAGAAGGTACTCAGAAGGTACTCCGAATGGGGAATCCTTATGTAGGCCCGTTGTTTTCTTTTCAAAACTGCCAATCTTGAATTCTCGCCGCTTCGGGATCAGATTCAATTTATGAATCAACTTTGCGAGGAATTGGATGAGATAAAAAGAATCAGATGGGGCTGTTTATTAGGGATATGCAAGCAATGGCCTGTAGGCAGAAATCGTCAAGGAGAAAAATAGCCAGTTAAAGACTCGGTTGAGTCGGGTATGGAATTTATGAAGGCAGTGTCATCAAGGGAAAGTGGTCTTGTATATGGTGTTGCCACAAAAGCTGTCATTCATCCCTAGCCTATGGGACTTTTTTTAAACCATGAGATACTTTGTGGGTCTCACCCAGAGCTTCGTGTTCTCGGATTTTCTTGCTAGCAGCTAGTTTCTGGTCTCCAAGTGAACCCATGGGGTAAAACTTACCAACAGAGACAGAGAAATCTTGAGAAGAAGGTTGATACAATCTCAATGCCTTGTATCCAGTTACTTCCTCGTGTGTTGGAAGCTCGGTTCATTAAGCTTCGCGCTTTGGGCCATCCTCCAACAAATTTCTCTCCTGATTTCAATACAAATGCTAGATGTGTCTCCCATTCTGGGGCACTTAGTTAGGATATTGAATACTGTAAGGGGTTGAAGTATGAAGTTTGGTACTTGTTTGGATCCTTTTCCAAGGTTCAGTCCATGTTTGGAAAACTGTTTCAGACTCTTTTTCCTCAGTTGGATGCTTCTTATGTGTAAGTATAAGATGGGGTGATGCTTCTGTGATGAAGAAGTATAAGATATCGAGTTCTTGGATATCTGCTGTTGTGTAGAAGAAAAATACCTCAAAGGTCGAATGCTATATTCAGAGTTTAGTTTCTTTTGTGTAGTAGAAGATTCTTTGTTATAGTTTCTGAATTTTGCTTCTGCGAAGTAGAAGACGGAGACTCTTTTTTAAAGTAGGAGATTCTCCGTAATTTGGTTGCTAAAACTTCTCTCTTGTGCAGTAGGAGATGAAGTTTACTCTCTTTTGTGTAGTAGAAGATTCTTTGGTATGGTTGGTGGATGTCGCTTCTATGTAATAGAAGATGTCGCTTCTTTTGTGTAGTTGGAGATGCTCTGGAATTCAGCGGTTGGATTTCTCTTCTGTGTGAAAGAAGATGGTTGGCATTTCTTCTCTATGGTAGAAGATACATTGTGATGCAATTTATGCAAGTTCGCTTGATAAAGCCCTCAT